CCACACGGCCCAGTTGTGGGCCGGATCTGGTACACATGGTTTCCACACGGCCCAGTTGTGGGCCGGATCTGGTACACATGGTTTCCACACGGCCCAGTTGTGGGCCGGATCTGGTACACATGGTTTCCACACAGCCCAGATGTGGGCCTGATCTGGTACACATGGTTTCCACACGGCCCAGGTGTCGGCCGGATCTGGTACACATGGTTTCCACACAGCCCAGATGCTGGCCCGATCTGGTACACATGGTTTCCACACGGCCCAGATGTGGGCCGGATCTGGTACACATGGTTTCCACACGGCCCAGTTGTGGGCCGGATCTGGTACACAAGGTTTCCACACGGCCCAGATGTGGGCCGGATCTGGTACACATGGTTTCCACACAGCCCAGATGTGGGCCCGATCTGGTACACATGGTTTCCACACGGCCCAGATGTGGGCCGGATCTGGTACACGTGGTTTCCACACGGCCCAGTTGTGGGCCGGATCTGGTACACGTGGTTTCCACACGGCCCAGTTGTGGGCCGGATCTGGTACACATGGTTTCCACACGGCCCAGTTGTGGGCCGGATCTGGTACACATGGTTTCCACACGGCCCAGATGTGGGCCGGATCTGGTACACATGGTTTCCACACGGCCCAGTTGTGGGCCGGATCTGGTACACGTGGTTTCCACACGGCCCAGTTGTGGGCCGGATCTGGCACACATGGTTTCCACACGGCCCAGTTGTGGGCCGGATCTGGTACACGTGGTTTCCACACGGCCCAGATGTGGGCCGGATCTGGTACACGTGGTTTCCACACGGCCCAGATGTGGGCCGGATCTGGTACACGTGGTTTCCACACGGCCCAGTTGTGGGTCGGATCTGGTACACGTGGTTTCCACACGGCCCAGTTGTGGGCCGGATCTGGTACACGTGGTTTCCACACGGCCCAGTTGTGGGCCGGATCTGGTACACGTGGTTTCCACACGGCCCAGTTGTGGGCCGGATCTGGTACACGTGGTTTCCACACGGCCCAGTTGTGGGCCGGATCTGGTACACGTGGTTTCCACACGGCCCAGTTGTGGGCCGGATCTGGTACACGTGGTTTCCACACGGCCCAGATGTGGGCCGGATATGGTACACGTGGTTTCCACACGGCCCAGTTGTGGGCCGGATCTGGTACACGTGGTTTCCACACGGCCCAGTTGTGGGCCGGATCTGGTACACATGGTTTCCACACGGCCCAGTTGTGGGCCGGATCTGGTACACATGGTTTCCACACGGCCCAGATGTGGGCCGGATCTGGTACACATGGTTTCCACACGGCCCAGTTGTGGGCCGGATCTGGTACACGTGGTTTCCACACGGCCCAGTTGTGGGCCGGATCTGGCACACATGGTTTCCACACGGCCCAGTTGTGGGCCGGATCTGGTACACGTGGTTTCCACACGGCCCAGTTGTGGGCCGGATCTGGTACACGTGGTTTCCACACGGCCCAGTTGTGGGCCGGATCTGGTACACATGGTTTCCACACGGCCCAGTTGTGGGCCGGATCTGGCACACATGGTTTCCACACGGCCCAGTTGTGGGCCGGATCTGGTACACATGGTTTCCACACGGCCCAGATGTGGGCCGGATCTGGTACACGTGGTTTCCACACGGCCCAGATGTGGGCCGGATCTGGTACACGTGGTTTCCACACGGCCCAGTTGTGGGTCGGATCTGGTACACGTGGTTTCCACACGGCCCAGTTGTGGGCCGGATCTGGTACACATGGTTTCCACACGGCCCAGTTGTGGGCCGGATCTGGTACACATGGTTTCCACACGGCCCAGTTGTGGGCCCGATCTGGTACACATGGTTTCCACACGGCCCAGTTGTGGGCCGGATCTGGTACACATGGTTTCCACACGGCCCAGTTGTGGGCCGGATCTGGTACACATGGTTTCCAAACGGCCCAGATGTGGGCCGGATCTGGTACACATGGTTTCCACACGGCCCAGTTGTGGGCCCGATCTGGTACACATGGTTTTCACACGGCCCAGTTGTGGGCCGGATCTGGTACACATGGTTTCCACACGGCCCAGATGTGGGCCGGATCTGGTACACATGGTTTCCACACGGCCCAGATGTGGGCCGGATCTGGTACACATGGTTTCCACACGGCCCAGTTGTGGGCCCGATCTGGTACACATGGTTTCAACACGGCCCAGATGTGGGCCCGATCTGGTACACATGGTTTCCACACGGCCCAGTTGTGGGCCCGATCTGGTACACATGGTTTCCACACAGCCCAGATGTGGGCCGGATCTGGTACACATGGTTTCCACACGGCCCAGTTGTGGGCCCGATCTGGTACACATGGTTTCCACACGGCCCAGATGTGGGCCGGATCTGGTACACATGGTTTCCACACGGCCCAGTTGTGGGCCCGATCTGGTACACATGGTTTCCACACAGCCCAGATGTGGGCCGGATCTGGTACACATGGTTTCCACACGGCCCAGATGTGGGCCGGATCTGGTACACATGGTTTCCACACAGCCCAGATGTGGGCCGGATCTGGTACACATGGTTTCCACACGGCCCAGATGTGGGCCGGATCTGGTATTTCACTGTCTCGGTTAATTATACACCCGATATAGTCTGGCTACGAGTAACACACTTCTAGCCAAAATAACCTTGAATTTGGTTAAATGTCGTTTTTGCCAACATAACTTGCGAGATGTTTGATATTCCATCATGTAAGCAAAGTAAACAGTGATTTCAAGGTGTTTGGTTTCATTTTTTTGACATGTTATCTAATTGATGACTTGGGCTCTGGTTTAGACGTCTATTACATGTCGACTTACAGCCCAAATGCAGCCTTGTGTTAGCCTAGACGTCTGGGACGCTATTAGACGTCTTTTAAGCGCAAAACTGCATTCTGGGAAAGTTTTTCACTCCAAAACTGAGGAGCATGAGCTCAGATCAATGAGGCCTACGATCAACAGTGTTGGGGAAGCTACTTTGAAACTGTAGTTTGACAAGCTACAAGCTACTCGTAAGTTAAAGTAGTTAAACTACAGTCAAGCTACCCTTT